GTTTTGTTTTTCCAGTCAACATATAAAATGATCTTCAATTTAACAAAACAGGGATAATCTGTAAAATAAGAAGAAAAAAAAACAATTTGCCATTATTCAATTCTTAATTTACAAAAAAAAAGAGGCAAATATCTGTAAACTCACAATATGTATGATCATTTAAATACAGAAAACACGTGTAATGTTATAGTCAGATGTTTAAGAAATTTCAAAAAATACACATTTCTGATGTGGCTGTTTTGTACAGTTTTGGCCTTTGAGCTGCTGGACCACCACTTTCCACCAAAACAGCTTCAGTGTCTTTTGACACTAATTCTTCAAGTCTCTGGAGCTCTGCTGAGGGGATGAACGCCATTCCTCCAGAAAGTGTTGCCTCATTTGGTACTCTGATGCCACCCTGTCTCCACAACACAAAGCATAAGTGCATGTGCAATTATGGTTTGAAGGAAACGAGTTTTGTGAAAAATACTTTCAGTTTGAAAGAATCACAAAATCTGCATGAAGAGGCAGCAGGGAAGATGGAAGTATAATTAAGGACCACAAGTTTTTTTTCTTTACTTTCAGTTTTCACTCACTTCCTGTTTAGCTTTTGCAAAAGTCAAACTTTGGTTGACACTTTCACAATCATACATGTCAGAAGCCTGGTTAAGTTTAGGCACCAAATTTACTCTTAGTAAGCTTAGAAAGATTGTTTAGGATGCATCGTTTGACTGCATGTTTAAGGCGTCTGATCCATTTTCTGGCTTACCAAGTGTTGCCCCATCTAATGTGTGATCAATTGGCCAAAAAGGAGCAACATTAAGACAATAAAGACATGTTGACTGATGTGTGATTCATGAAAAACAAATGTAATTTGGCAGAAAATATTTCCCTCATTGAGAATCCAGTGTTGTCATATAGGATAGGGTTTTTTGATGACGGTTATGAAGAACGCGTTTTGACAAGTCAGTCTCGTGTGTGGAGGTCTGGCGACCGCAAAGGCCACAGATAATCTTCATACTCCTGAAATTATTCAGTGACCTCTTGTGTCATCCTGGAAGGGATCAAAATGTTTCACCACAGGATAAAGGTGTCCCCTCTGATCAACTTTGTATTGATTTGCAGTGACCTTTGCCTGTAAATGCACAACTGGAACCAAACCAAGCCTCCTGCAGCATAACAGAACCACTGAATCTCTTCTTCGTAGGGGTCAGAGGTCCGGCTTTTCCTTTAAGTCGCCACCAGTCTGTTAGTGTGAGTTACTACGGTTCTACAATTTAGTCTAATTAGTTTATGTTAAGTCCTTTAGTTTAACAGTTTTGCACAATTATTCAAACACAATGCTTTGAAGTAATTACAGCAGCAATCAGTGTGCAGTAAACTTCAACATAACACCACAAAACATGGTTAATCTCTGCATTACCAGGTGAATACAAATGCCCTGGGGGGGGGGCATCCTTATTGCATTGCAAATACTTGGAAACATACACAGAAAGCAGATATGCCTGTTCTTCTGCCTTTGCTCAATGGACCTGTATGCAATTCTGCATGGGTGGATGGGTTCATACATATTTCTCAAACTATGCAGCCTCGACACTTATGTAACGTGCACCTTTTGTGGCTACGCTGAAGGTCCTCTGATGTGCTCAGTTTTACCCCCCTAAAAAAGATTTTTCTCTAAAACCGAGCCATCCATCCATTATCTATACACCGCTTAATCCTCACGAGGGTCATGGGGGGCTGGAGTCTATCCCAGCTGACTCAGGGTGAAGGCAGGTTCACCTGGACAGGTAACCAGTCTATCACAGGGCTATACTTAGAGACAGACAACCAAGCACACTCACATTCACACCTACGGACAATTTAGAATCACCAATTAACCTCAACATGTTTTTGGACTGTGTGGGAGGAAGCCGGAGAACCCGGAGAGAACCCACGCTGCACGAGGAGAACATGCAAACTCCACGCAAAAAGATTCTGGTGCCCCCACCGGGACACGAACCGGCAACCTTCTTGCTGCGAGGCAACAGTGCTTAAAACCGAGCCATTTAAAGCTAATACTCTGCATTTGCATGTTTGATTTTAGTCTTCCGCTAAACATAAAGCTGCTTTTTTGCCTTTAGAAGACTGCTAAAACATAAAAGACAATAAAAAAACACAGGAAAGTCCAGAGAGAGCAGAATGAACAAGCAGGAATCTGAAATCAAAGCTTGAGAGGGAACCATGAAATGCATCTATTATGTATGTGTGAATGTAGAGGGATATGAGAATGTGAATGGTATGTACTTGTTAAGGGTGGAGTCGTGCATCTTTGCCAAATGTTCCAATTTCTCATGCCAGGAGGAACATTAGCTTCCTCTCAGCACGAGTCCCTTTTGCAGAGTCTCAAATCCACAGGCCTTGTGTTTGCCAGAATGGAAATGCTGCTGATGATCAGGCTAATTTTGAAAGTGCGCTCTTGAAGTCAAGTCACTTCATAATATTTTTATCGGAGAAGTGCCTTTTAAGCAGTAATCCAGGACAAGGACTTCTGTCACAGAACACAGTGACGCCTCCTGCCACTGCACTCGATAGGTCGTGCGTTTGCAGCGGAATAAATTCTGATTCCTCTGAGCACAAGTGATTTGTTTTAAAATAAACTGAGGAATATAAATGGTGGCGCGAGCGGTGACACGCCACCGGGAGCTGAATCACAACTGAATCACTGACAGAAGACAAACATGGCATTCGTGATTCAGCGCTTCAGGAGTTTCAAAGTAGAATCTGGTTTAGTTTTCAGACAGGATTTCAGAAAACAAGAGGATGCTGAGATGGGAAAAGCAGGTAAAAAAAAATAAAAATGTCCCAAATATATTTCAACCAGGCATGCGTGTCTAAAAGCATTCTTTTTTTAGGACTTATTAAATTTTCATTTAGGTCCTAAATGCTTGAATGAGGCAGCACAAAAACTGCTTTTGGAGGAAAAGGAAATGTTTAGAAATATGTTGTCAGAATTCAGACCTGTGTTAAAATGTGCGAGGCAGAGTGACGGACAAATACTGTATATGTATGCGTAGACATCTTTTTGTTTTAAAGAAACAAACTCTAAAGCAAAGTGCATAAAAACAGAAGAATTGATTCAGGAATATTCAAATCTGACCCAAAGATCTTTACAACTAATTCACAGTAAAAATATATATATATATATTTTACATTTTTGCTTCCATCACAACTATTTTAAACCTTACATTTCAAGTGTTTATACCCCATATATCGGTATATATGGAGGAGTAGCAGGCCCTCATGTACAAGCAAATCCTTTTACTGTTGTTTACCGTTATTTTTTTATGTGTATCTCTGCAGATACACAGGAGACTGCATCATATACAATTGCTGGCATCCTTTCAGCCTGCCACAGCTTGTCTATCAGCAGAGGGTGGCGACACTGTGTTGGAAGGGCCTTGTTGATTTTTTTTCCCTGTTGAGTCCTACTCAAGATCAATATCCTCTCAGGTCCCCTTCAGTCCTCTTACTTTCCAGGGTTAATCGACGACAATGGAAAGCTCCAGGGATTTGTAGAGACCTTGCCTTCTAATGCTTTCACTTTGTGCAAGATAAATTGAGGGCTGTTGACAAGATCTTGGCTTAATTCGACGGAGAATATAACTCTGCGTTATCCTCGCTCGTGGACATTCCATCCGACCACGGGCGGCTTCGAGAGCAGCCCTTTCAAAACTTAAACAATTTTTAATATTCAAACGCTTCATACTGTAGTTTGGACGTCAAGAAAAAGCAAAGCAGTTTTTTAATATGACGCCTTGAGGGTCTCGTTCAAAGTCAAGGTTGTGATGTGAGGAGTCACTTTTTGAATATTCCGACATAATTTTCATGAGTCTGTTTAATAATTCACTCAAAATTATGAAAGACGCGGCGATGTTTGGAATATACAAAACTTGGTCTAATCTGAATTTTATTACGCTGCCTCGGGGCGTTTCATTCAACGCCGTCCCACTGCATGTGCGGCGATCGCTTAAGATTTGTAAATATACTGCTTGGATGGATGTCGGATGTTGACCTAGCTTTAAATTGCAAATTATAGCATAATCATTGATTTGTTTGATCTCTCAGAAAGCCTTAAGGAGACTGTACCGAGAACAGAAGTCGTAACTCGTGAAGATCAAACAGAGGAGCGATAATGTAATTCCAATCTTATTCATAGACTAATGATTCCTTGACCGATGCAAGATCAAAGTCAACGTAAGCGGTCACATCATCTGAAATTGGGGGTGATGAAAAGTTCACAATACATATCAATCAAAGGTTAATTTATTATTATGTCCATTCATTATTTCACTACTTGTCCCGGTGCCAACATCCTGAAGAGGCTGCGGAGAAAACAACCAAAATCTGGACGCCTGAGGTTTGGGATTCGGCCAGATTTGACAAAAGCAAGCAGTCATCAGTCTCCCAACAATCCTGAAAACAATGACCACGCCACAGTGGGCCCACCATCTGTTTTTGGAGAAGGAGTGTTGTTTGGCTTCCAATATGCTTAGTGAGACATAATGTGAGCTGCTGTTATTTGCTAAATCCGTATGCATGTTGTAAATTCAAATGCGTTTGGTTCTCATTTAGAACAGTTTTGCTGACACAATCTTAGAATAAAGTCCCCTCTAATGTAGCTTCCCTGCACCTCATTAAAACAGCACACCAGAAATGGAGCAGAATGGATCTTCATGAGCTGAAAAAATTAGGGTTTTCTTTTTTTCTTTTTCTTTTTTTGTTTTGCTGAGAAAACAGCAGCAACGAATGGTCATTTTCATTAATTGGTGGTTTTTAGGAAAATCTAGCCAATAACATGGCTAACATTGGTGAAAAATGCCCATTACAAACAAAAGGATGCTCCTTCAAGTTTCCAAACAATTCTTTGAAACCTAAAATATGAATTTTCCAATCTAGAGGCAGCACATCCCCATATTTGCAAAACTGGAGTCCATGTATTTTGCCATTTTCTGAAAACATCACGCAATCGCAACAAGATCTACGAAATAAGAACTTTTATTCATAATATATTCATACTTGTACACAAGTAAAATAAAATGCATATCTATGGTTCCATTGCAATCTCCATGAACAAACTGAAAGCATTCTTTTGGTAAATGCTACCCATATATCCCTTCGGTCATGAAAATAGAACTAAAATCAGGGGGAGGTAAAACATTTGTTTTTAGAAACATAAAAAAACGAAACATTACCCAACAAATGCATGACTTTGAATAAATAATGGGGGGGAGGGGGGGAGATCGTTTATCTTCGTTAAACAGACCCAACATTCTTTGTGCGCGTTCTGTGTCCAATTTCCTGTTTTTCTTGTTTTTGTCTTTTTTCTTCTTCTTTTTTGTTTGTTGTTTTTTTTTTAAGTCTTCCAGTGGTCTGTCTAAGCAGTAAAAGCTTTTTCAGAGGGGAAAAGGGAGGAGTCTCCAAAGTGTAGCTTAGACATAGTACAGTTGAGTACATAGAGAACAAACAATTTTGGGCACCAATTCATTATTTACATTAGATCTGTAGTGTTCTGTAAAGGCATCCATTTTGTTTAATGTACTCTAACATCTTCGTTTATTGTTTGTCCTCAGCAACGTCGGGTCAAAGTGACTCCTCGCTTTTTCAGTCACTGCCTGTTGTAGATGTCACTGCATCTTTTTGTATCATTGTCATGAGCATCAACATTCTTGAGTCCTGTGTTCAGGGTGAGATCAGGAGTCCTAAGACATGGCTAGAGATATCCAGGTCATGGGAATGAAGAGAAAGCGCAGCACTTGCAAAGTAGAACCCCGGCCTTTGATGCAGTGGGCGTCTGATTTGGGCTTTTTGGAACACTTCTTTTTCTTTTTGTTTGATGCTGTAGATGATTCCAGATTGTCTATAAGCTCGGGGTTTAAGTTTTCCAAAGACTTGTCCAGGGTGTTGGACAAGGTTCCCAGTGGTCCATCGTTCTGCTTGTTTTGGGTCTCATTTTTTGTTCGCTCTGGCTCTTTATATTTAGTCTTGGACATGTTCTCCTTTTCCTTAAGGGGGTTGTTAGTGATTTGGCGGCTCTTTCCAGACAGGATAGAAGACTTGTCATTATCTCCGAGGCAACACCTGGGAATGGTGTCCCCCAGAGGGCTTTCGGTGGAAGCAAATTTCCCCGAATGTGCCTTGGAGTTGAAGAGATTGGTCTGGATTTGGGGTGTTTCCACACATCCCTCCAAGTCTTCGCTTTTCAGCCGTTTCAGGTCCTTTCCTGCCAGAAACTCGGGAACGTTGCACTCCAACTCCGAGCTGGAACCTTTAAAACGTTTGAACCAGTCCCATAAGGTCCTCGCCCGGCAGTCACAGATCCACTGGTTCCCATTTAAACGCAAATACTGGAGGGTAACCAACGGGTCCATGGTCTCCCCTGTCAACACCGTGAGATTGTTGAAGAACAAGAACAAGGACTTCAGCTTACCGAGGTCGCTAAACGCCCTGGGCTGGACGTAGATAACTCGGTTCTGGTGCAGCAGCAGCCGGTCCAGATTGATTAAGCCTCGAAACATGTTGTCCGTTACTATCTTGATCTTGTTATTGTGCAGGTAGAGATAGGTGAGGTTGGCAAGGTCCAGAAAAGTGTCATCATGCAGGGTGAGAATGTTATTGTCCTGCAGGTAAAGGTACTGTAAAGAGAACATTCCTCGGAAAACCCCAACAGGGAGCTCTGACAGGCCACACCTGTGCAGGTGGAGGGTGTGCAGCTTAGTTAGGCCTCGGAAGGCCGTTGGGCTAATGGTACGGAGGTTGCTGTTGTCCCCAATGTCCAGTTCCTCCAGTTTTTCCAACCCATAGAAAGCTCCAGCTTCGATGTAGCTGATGTTGTTGGAGTAGAGCCAGAGAACAGTGAGATTGTGGCAAGAGCTGAAGCTCGTGGACCTCACCACTGTCAGCTTGTTGCTCTGGAGGAATATCCGTTGGCTCCGCACTGGGATCTCAGTAGGGATGGAAAACAGTCCTTGTTGTTGGCAGGCCACCGTGGGCCTGGGCTCACTGTAGCACACACACTTGGCAGGGCAGCTGTAAGTTTGAGGCACAAGGTTCAGCCACATCACCAGAAAAAGGAGACGCCCCCCTATGGAGACACAAAAAAAGACATCAGTGGATTAGTAAATAATGTATGTAAATATCGAAAGTCACAGTCACAGAAATCTGCAGGAATAGACGAATCCGGGTCAGGATGTAATATGCATAAACCCTTGAAATAACAGTCAGACGGCAGATTTGAGAATTAGTCTGCTATGAAGCATGTTGATATCAAAAACTGTGCATAAAACACACATATAGTTTCTGCTTATATCATAAACAAATTGGACAATTTAAGCTAGTGACAGTGCACGGCATTAAAATACAAAAATCCCAAACATTCAGTTGCATGAAGTGCAATGTTCAGCACATTACTACAGAATAGTTAATCCCCCTCATAATGGTGATTCAGCATGCATTTTAGCAGTGATGTTAGGTGGATCTGGGGACACATCTCCTCCCCGCTGCCTCTGATGACGCAAAGACCTGAGCAGCCGGAGAGAGAGAGAGAGTCCCGTGAAGGCAGACTTATTAAAAATCGGGTGGGTTGGCTTTAATATGGAATTAGCCTGCTCTAATAGGACATACATAACTAATGGTGTTTCAGCATTCCTGAGGTTGACTTTTAGCCTGACGGTGGGAGATAAGCTTTCATGCCAAGCTAGGAGATTGATACCTGGGGCCAAGGTAAGGAAAGAGAGGGCTACTGAGGCCTTGCTACAGTTTTCACTGCACCGCTATGACTGGAGCTTTTTTTTTCTTCTTGTAAGTGCAGCATGAAGTGGAGGTGTGGTAGCACTCAGAGCAAGGTTTGTAAAGATTATAGTATGTGTTTGCCCTGCAGGCATCCATGTTTAAAATAAGCCGCATTCCGCATTTGCTCCCATAAATTATTTCTGATTGTCCTCTTGCCGTAGTTCACATGAGCCGGCTGCACACTGGCATATAATTGAAATGGGCGGGATTACAACGTGTACACGATCACTGCTGACATTACACTGCTGTAGGTACAGCTGAGCTTAGAAAAAAAAAAAAAAAAAAGGAGTTTATCCACCAGTGCTCATACATCCTTCATGCAGAGATGAAGGTGTCAAAGTGTCACAAGCATGTCTGGGATCATCATATAATGACAGGTACTCCGCATCTGAGTCCTCCTCAGCTCCTGTCCTTACAGAGGATTTCCAATCTCTGCTCCTATGCACATGTGAGGACTCCCAGACTTGCGGGCATGACAGGTAGTGAGACTCTGGTTTAAAAAAAAAAAAAAAGCATGAGCCTTACTCAGCCCTCCCTCCTCTCATTCCCCTGTAATGTGTTGTGGTGCAGCTCATCTATGGACCTTGTTAAACGGAGCTCTGGTGTGGCCTGACAGCAGCCCTCTGCTGCACTTTCCTTCCAATCTCCCTGCTCAGCCGTCAGACTGCCACTGGAAAGCTGTCAAGACTTTCCACTCTTTCTGCATCGCAGCACTTTTCCCTCAGCACTGCCTAACAATAGCAATATTTTATCGCACAGCACGCTTCGTGTATCTCCTCTGCCGTCTTCATTTTTTCCCCTCTCTGCTGTCTATTCATTAACAGGCTATTTCCACCCACGCGTTACGTGTCAAAGCCTGGTTTCCTCGGCTCGCGGCATAATACGTCTTGTCTTTGTTAGCATCTGCTGAATGACAGCATAAGCCCCACAATGTCATCAACTACATGCCAATAGTTTTTTTTTTTTTCCTCACTAACAGCATCTTCACATCTGCATGGCGCTGACTGCATTACCATATGCTACAAACACAAATCTGGCGCTCTGATACTTTTGTGTGATTTCACTCTTTCATAATCATATTTCTGAGTAATCTCTACGTTGCGTCACAGTCGGGCCTCTCACCTCTCCCTGAGAGTCTGGCTTTGCGCTATTGATTGGTCAACAGTGCTGGTCTTTCCTCTTTTATTTTCATCCCTACTCTGTTGTCTCTGCTTCAGATCTAAATCGCGGAAAAGATTACAGAAAACGGAAATGATGCTCAGCAGTTTGTTCTGATAGTTAAGTTGACACAAACAAAACACAACAAGGTTATGGAAAAAAAAAAAATCCATTCCTTATCATCTTCTGCCAGCTTTGGTTTCAACGCTTAATCTTCCCCTATCTCCTGTGTCAAACCATGGCTCAGAGCACTGCCTTCCCTCTCTCAGACCCTGCCAGTGGCCTCTTTTCTGAGAGCTATATTATTGTACAATAGCAATCTTCACTCTGTTTAAGAGCAGACAAGCTTATTTGTTTTCTCTTGAGTGACACGGCTAGTCCCTTTAGCTTTGAGTAAAGTACATGATTTCTCCTCCTCCAAGACAAGCACTTGTACTTAGAACAAGAGCCTGACAATATGTGGCACGCGTACGACCAGCATTCATCGGTGATACATGCTCTTTGCTTGGCGAAATTGAATTATCTGTCAGAACAAATTTGCCAGAATCATGTGAAATGTGACAGACACTCGAGTTAGACATTATTGAGCTGATATAGATCTATGGAAGAAAAAAAAAAATAGGTGCAAATATCTCAGGTCTGACTCTGTTGAATCATTTTCAGGCGTGGCAGGCTAATGCGTCGCCTTTCCTTAATAAATAAACTAGACTCTTAGTAGTAGTCTGGGGGGAAAAAAATAATAATTTCACTAGAATGGATTATAGGAGATCTGTCAGAAAGGAAAATTTAATACTCAGAGGTAAAAAAAAAAAAGGAAATTGGCATGAAAGCAGTCAGTGTTGTGGATAAATAATATCTGCAAACAGCTACTCAAGTCCAAAAATACTGGCATCGGTGCCCTCATAGTAGCTAGAGGACACAACATCCAATTGCAGAAACAGAGAGATGTCCACAGGAGCGCCATGAGTGGGCGCAGACAGCTTTGTTTGCTTATTGTATGACTGCATCACTTAGCCAGACTCCTTGCTCATTTGCATTTGTCGCTGGCATGTTTCGGAGCTCCAAACAAACTCTCCGCGCTCCTTTTTGTCTTGTTGTGCAAATACGACACGCGGCTAAACGCCTTCTCGTGCTCCGGAACCTGCGACGAGCGCAGAGGGCACGCCGGGACAGCGGCACATTGGAGAGGGGGGCTCCGATTCATCACGGTGGCTTTACTTTGAAGGGCTGGGGATCGGGCAGGGACAGCTAACATGACAGTCTTATCCCCTCGGCCCAGAGTGGAAGTGATGTCTCTGTCAGAGATGAATCACGGTGGTTCTCCAGAGGGACCTCCTGCCCTCCTTCTGAAATTATACATTATTGTGTTGCTCGGAGGCAGACCTGCATTTAATATAGTCACGATGCCTCCCCGTAAGGTCATGTATCTTGTGTGAACCCATCCGCGCATACATAAATTGTTTTCTGTTTCATGTTTAAATGAAGAACACAACGGAACCGGATGAGATATGACAGTCGTATGGAGCCTTTTTTTTTTTTTAATGTACCACCGTCAGTGTGGCTGTAAATGACTTTTTGAGCTGCGAGTAATAAAGGGCAATAACTCGATGCATCACAAAGTCACAAAGCTGTTATGAGAAGAGAACACAAAATATAAAGACCGTGCTTTTTACTACTAAGGAAAGAAAAGACTTTTTTTTTTTGAGAAGGAGCAACTTTTTTATTTTTTATTGTAAGCTTTAAAGTTAAACTGCAGCTTGACTTCACTTACTTGCTATTCTCTACAGCAACCGCTTTGTTATATAAAAAATGAGTTTCTTTTTGTGTTGGATTCATTATCAGCGACTGACTGTTGTTTCCTGTTTGCTCTACCTTCTCTGACTTACTGCCATTTTCCCGTATATGACATAAGAGTGGGATCCTTTCTAATTGTGCATAAAGCGTCTAATTATGTAAAAATGAACCTTAATACCGGTGATTTCATCAAAGCTCTTGCCCACAAAAATTCACTCGGACTGGTTAATTATGCGTAACCCTAATATTTCTACACTAATGCTGTTCTCAGATAAGTACAATCATCCAGACGCTTCACCTGAGACATTCAGCACTCTTATGAGCATGAATAAACCGGACATGTGCTCATGCAAAGCAGCTAATAGCGTGTATTCCTGCCACTGTCTACTTAAACTTTTTTTTTTTTTACAGTGCACTCTAAATGTAGTACTTCTACTTCCAGTCGTGTAGAGTTTCTTGATAAAGTGCTACTTTTGGAAAAAGTGAGAATTACAGAGTCGCCTACAGTCACACTGTCATGGCAGACCAGGAGAATATTCCATTTAAGTTTGCTTTGAAGCTCTTTTCCTTTATAAGCCTGTGAAAAGTTTTATTACAGAGAAGAAATGGTCTTCACTTTCAAGAGTGCCGCTGAATTGCACAGGGATTGGTTGGTGGGGCATATTCATATGGAAAAGGCTTGTGATCAGAAGGACACATTGACCTTTTTATTGCTACTGTATTTACCCTGTCACTGAGGGGAGAGTTTTCCAAAGAGCTACTTTTCTTCTTTTACTCAGCCTTCAATGCAATTAACCCTCCGAACCCCTAAAACCGGCCAGCGGGTTTGAAAGGCGGCTTATCTTTTGAAGAAATCACCAAAATGACACCATTTATCGTCTATGACATGCGGTTCGTGCTGAAATCTAAGCTTTAAATTGTGTGATTTGATCAAACTCCCTTGATTCTATGTGTTTTATTTAAAAGCGCTGTTTGTACTAAACTGATACTGTGAAAAAAATAAAATAAAATCTGCAATCTTCAGCTAAACCGCCATCAGTGACTCAACTGTGACCGACAATCACGTCACAAAAATTCGTTGTGTTTTCGACTGAAGTGCAGTTTGTTTTTACACAGAGCAGATTGAAGGCAAACACATCAAATATATAAAATATCTGTAACACGGGGAGGCACCTTTGTTTTTTCATTACTGGTAACACCTGTTGTACATTGTAGTTGTATTTTTTTTTGGAAATTTTGTACAATAATTGAAGTAATTTAACATTTGTTTTATTATTTTTTTTAATGATTTGTAGCATCATAACCGTATCAGACATTTCTGAGTTCTCTTCACTTCTTGCC